CATGCTCTTCCTCTTTGTTATGTAGGTATACATTATTGTTTTCATTTACTTTATTTTACAAGTAGCATTTTATATGCATTTTCATTTAATTGGAAAGTAGATCAATGGGAGTTGTGGTTCTGGTAAAGATTCACTTATAAAACCGCAAATCTACCTTCTCGTACTCAACTTCCTTCCTCAGTTTTTTCCTTTCATGCTCAAGTTCTTCCACCTTCTGTAGTAAAGTGATATCATCAAGGCACAAGGGGAATGAATAGACCATTTAGATAGTAGATTATCAAAGCAGGGAACAGGAAGCAAGTATACTTTTCTATTGTTGGCAAAAGCACGCTGCTCCTCGCGAATTTGAGCCTACAGTTGGCGAACTTTATAATCAGAAGAAACAAATTTTTTCCTGGTGTCTTCCTGCCATTCAAAGAAACATTATTATACTCCAAGATGAGATATTGACAAATGATGAAAATAATGTATAATGATAACATACCAAATTCCTCTTTAGAAAAACATCAACTGAGCTATAACTCCGTGCTGGATGGAGGTACCCGCTAGCTCCATGCTGGATGGAGCTAGGTTGGATGGAGCTAGCCGACCTAGCTCCATCCTGAATGGAGCTAGCCAAATATGGTTGAATATAGCTAGGGATAGAGTTGGTGTGTTATTATTATTATTATTAGAAAAAAAAGACCCATGCACGGAGACACCGTGTGCGCACACAGTGTCTCCGTGTGTGCGCACAGAGGTTTTTTTTTCTTCCTACTTACCAGTAACATTTTTTTCAACCAAGAACAATATCCTATATGTTGACCACATAATCATTTTCATTCTCACCCAGCACGAAATTTTCATAGATAGTTTGATGAAACTAACACTAAACTTTGCTCGAAGTTGTAATTCCACAATAAAACAAGCATCAGTTATGGAATTCAAAATAATCAAATATCAACTGGAATAAATAATTAAATAAGAAAACAAATCTATATAGGAAAATTACCAGTAAGAACAATAGCTTTGACAACATCCCTAGTCGTCGCCTCTGCAAACTTTGGAATACTGTGAATGGAGCTATTGAGATGAGAAGACACAACGGCGTGGAGTTATTTAAAAATGAATAACCCTTCCATCAGAAATAACATGTTGGAGAGTAACAAATCTAAACTTTAAAATAATATACAGTTGTCCTTACATGAACATTGTGCATTTGTTGTATATCCACCAATGCCTTTTGCTTTCACTACACCCAAAAAAAAAAAAAAAAAATATCAAGTTATGCAAGAGGAGGAGATAAAACATTGTAACTTAATAGAAGAACCCAAGAAATAAATTCAAGTTTGTTTAACAAAAACTCCTTCCCATGAATGAATTCAACAAACTAAGACAACCACAAAGAGATATAGAGGAACTTACCGACATCCGTATTTATAAAACAAAACCTTGCAAAAGATTTTCAAATCACTTTTCCATTATGGTTGCACTGCAAACTCTTCATCGATGTCAGGTCTCCTGCTCATTGGTAAAATGAAGCTTCAAGGTTGAATTTTTAACAACAAATGAAATTCTAAGTAAAGGTAAGATTTCTTATTTTACCTATCTAATGCCTGTAGAAATCATAGTACATTTATGCTCCCCTCTCATCTAGCAACTGAAGAAAGCATAAACAAATGAAAATAATTTAGACAAAAAGTTTGTTTAACAAAAACTCCTTCCCATGAATGATTTCAAGAAACTAAGACAACCACAAAGAGATATAGAGGAAAGTTACAGAATTTAGAGGAACCCAATTTAGAGGGAAAAAAGCAGTAAGAATTTGCACAAAGCTTAACAAAGGTACAAAAAGTAGATGAAGAAATCTGAATTTTGGTAGCAGTGATATATTTGCTCATTGTTTGAAAGCTCCCGAGGCAACTGCCGAAAATCTAAGAAATACAGAAAACAACACCTAATGAGATACAAGGATTCATATCACATCCATAGCAAACTGATTAGTTGCATACCACCCAGTGTTCGAGAACACACCTTCAACATTCTCCAATGGCGGACCAAGCCCAGCATTTGTAGTGAACTTGCACATATTTGTCCAAAGGCTGAGGCTCTTACACTCCTTAAGCATATCCTCATTGAACTTTGGAGGAAGATCGTGAACATAAATATACCTCCCTCCACACGGATCACTCTTATTCTCTATTGTTCTCAACGCCCTCATAAAAGGATAATTCTGCATCTCATGACTATCCAAATGGCTAATAACTGGTGGCGCTCTCACACCTTCCGCATTCACATTATTTACACTTTCATCTTTCAATTCATTATTAACTGATTTTTCTTTTTCATAGCCACCATCAACTCTAGCACGCTCAATGGTGATGGGGCGACTAACAGGGATCTGGTTGGAATTACTGATCCGAGTATTTAAAGATTCAGCGTCTCTGTCGCGCACGGACACGATCCGTGCGTCCGTGCGCGACGGAGCGACTGTCGTCTCTCCTTGCCGGTAAATTTAAGGTGGAAAGAACCTACCTTTCCGGCGGCGGCGGTGAGGCACGGGCAGGAGAAGTAATTCTCAGATTTGCTAGGGCTTTT